GTGCTGGGGGCGCAGAAACTATTGACTCTGGTATGAACATGACATATGACCTTGAACAAATGTCCTCTGGTTCTCAGCCACTGAAGCTCCCTCTGTACAGTGCAGGGGTGGGTCCAGCCTCTGCAATCCAACCATCCCCAAACCAGTGCCAACCATATCATCTTCTTCCTCCCTCAACCCCAAAGCCTTCCATAGCTTCTACTGCCTCCTTCTGGCCTTTAAGGCATGAAGACATGATCTTGACCCATTTTCCTGGCCTGATCTGCAACTCTCTCACCCCGAAACAACCCCTCCTCTCAGCAGCATTGGGATTCCCCCGCTCAGGTCCTTTCAAAGTCTAAGACACCCTCCCATGACCCTCTCCCTGCCCCTCGAGAGCCAGTTAAAACTGCCTTCTAGAAGCGCTCCAACACACAGAAGTCTTGGTTAACAGACTCCTAAAAACTGTTTACGTCTGCAGCCAGACTCGAAGCGAGAAGGGAAGTCCTCAGGAGCCAGATATAACAGGGGACTCCTGGAAAAGTCCGGGGAAATGAAATAGAACATTCGAGGATGGGGGTTCGTGGGTGTTGGTTAGAGTCCTCTGAACTTTCTGGATCCCTAAATAAGAAAAAAGCAGTCCAAATAAAAATCCAAAATTTTATAAGATTTTTAAAAGGCTAAATGCAACGTGTTAGCCTGGATTGGATCCTGGGACAGAAAGAGGATATCAGTGGAAAAACTGGTGACATTCAGACAAAGTTTGGAGTTTGATCGGCGGAAGTGTACCCACCTTTCTCCCTTAGCTGAATGAATCATGGTTATGAATGACTGAGGTTTTTTCTTTATGCTTTTCTCTATTTGCCATCAAGTGTCTGCATGATTTTTGTCTTTGGTTTTCATGTATTAAGGAGTAACAAAGATATGAAAAGGGACATTAGGCATAAGACTGATGATCAATTCTTTATCTACAATGACTAAATCAAATAACTTCTGAAAACTGCAGATTCTTCCCCTGTCTGTCGGCAAACCTGGCCATTTGGATGGGAGGCTGTTTATAGTATTTTATCTCACTTCATGTGAATATTCGTATGTGGAGAAATAGCCCTGTGTTTGATCGTGGGGTGCCACCCCAGGTCCTGTCAGGGTGTCCTGCAGTATCCCGAGTGTACACACACGCTGTCCTACCTTTATAAAATCCACAAGATTCTGGCTCTAGCAAGTCACGTGGTCCTATCAGTGTAGACAGGGGGCTGTCCCATCCCATCGCCCAGCTGAAGAAATGAAATGTTACTATAACTATGAAAACCCCCTTGTGTACCCCCAGATGGTAATCTGTATCATATGATTTTGATCATCAGGAGGACAGCCATGTTCTGGGAACAACCAACCACAGCAGAGGTGGTGGGAAGAATCTGGAGGTTTGGGAGGCCCATGTGTGGGCTGGGTCCCCCACTCCTTGTCTCCCTCCACACCCACCTCACCCCATCAAGAGTATGGGCCACAAAAAGTTGCCTGCCTGGGTACGGGAAGAGGAATGATTTCATCACGGAAGAACTGCTCATGACAGCCTCGTTCTGACAGGAGATCTCGGGCTGTTACTTGGGCCTGGTTAGTGGGGACACCGCGGAAAGCTGTGGGAGATGTGGAGGGGGTCCCATGGCCAGGGCAGGGACCCCCTCAGAACAGCTGTGGCCACTGCCCCTGGAGATGGGAGGGATGAAGTTGACTTGGGGGTCCCAGGGCTGAGAAAAAGAGGAAGCAGCTTGGGGCAGTGGCTGGGGCCCAAGCTGGGCTCTGAGGCTTGCACCGTAGGCCCCACCCCGCGACTGATTTGCCAGTGACCTGGGCATGACTCTCGCGCTTCCTGGGCCTTGGTTCTCTGTTTCGTGTGAATCCCTTGCCCTGCCCACCCCCTGGCGGGGGCGAGGACGCCTTTACTCAGCTTCCTGTGCCTCATCTTCTTCATCTGCACAACGGGGTGATGATAGCACCTACTTCGCAGGGTTGCTGTGAGGATTAAATGAGCTAATCCACATAAAGAACTTAGAACAGATCCTGCCTCATGGTCACCCTCCAAAAGATGCTGCTGCTTTTTTTTTTTTTTAAATAATATTCATGGAATCCTAACTAGGCTTCGGCCCTAGGTGAGGAGGTGGGATACAGTGGAGAGCCAAACAGACATGGTCTCTGCCTTCAGGAAGCTCAGCGTTCATCAGATAATCCCAGGACTCAATGTAAAATGGTACCCGATGAGTATTTTAAAGGAGAGGTGCACCACCAGGCTGTGGTCTGGGAGCCCCGAAGAGGGGATCAAACCTAGTCGGGGGTGGGGGAAGCTTCCCCTGAGGATGAGGAGAAATCAGATGGCGGAAAAGAGACAGAAAGCTCTCTGGGCATGTGCAAAGGCCCTGTGGAGGGGGCATGGCCAATGCAGGGAATGGGCAGGCAGCCAGGGGGTGGGCAATGTGTCCTGAGGTGGCCTGGGCAGGTCGGCAGGATCTCTGATTTTGCAGACTGTGGGGCTGGCCTCAAAGAGGCCTCCTGTCCCCATCAAACAATTAAATCGATGGCTATATTATGACCAAAAACAAAGTTTTATTGAATACATAGCTGAGCTCGAATGAAAGAAAGAGACAACCCCAAATACTGGAGACAGAAAGGGAACAGAGAGCCCAAATTGTGGGGTAGGTGGCCCAGAGACAGGAGGACTAGGAGGATGTGGGTTCAAACCACACGGGCCTGAGGGTTTTAACACCCTCAGAGGAAGAGGAATGAGATGGGGAGATGGAATTAAGACATTTCCCCTAAAAAATAAAAGACATCTTCCCTTAGTAAAAGGAGACTTAACTCTACCCACCGAAGGAAGCCACAGGAGGGGCTGGCTGGGGCTGGGAGGTATAAATAGAAAACCAAAGCCCCTGCACGTGTGGCTCGGAAGCGTACGCGCGTGCTGCCAGTGCGGTGTCAGACTTCCTCTGCTGCGAAGTTAACTGCAGAGCATGTCCAAACTAATGCGATATGTCACCGCTGGGTTCCTGGTAGGGGCAAGCGCCAAACCACTCTTGAAGCAAACGTAGCGGATCCAGGCCGCAGAGTCCGTCCACAGAAAGAAAAACAAGAAATTCCACTGAAGATGAGCTTCCAAGAAACCGCAGATCACAAACAACACCAGGAAACCATCTACCACGTGAGAGATCGAGCAAACACGAGCAACAGGAGGATGAGCAACCCAAGGACTGGACGTCATAGAACGACCTGGAAGAAACAACAAAGGAACTGATTTTTCCATGATTAAAGAAATAGAGCTGTAATGAAATCATAAGACTGGGAGATGGGGTGGGCGGGGGGCGAGGAGAACACTTAAGATTTGAAAGTGAACTCGATAGACTTTCCGGAAATACGAATTATTATATGAAAGGAAAAAACTCAGGGAATGAGTAAAGAGATTAGACACAGCTGTAGAAAGCAAGAGTGAATGGAGAGAAATATTTGAAGAAATGATCCGGAATTTAGCAGGGATAAAAAGAGATAGAAACCGTGGCAGAGCAAATAAGAGACGTGTTAAGATGGAATGAGAAGGCCCAACACGTGTCTAACGAAAATTCAAGAAGTTAAGAGTGAAAAATAATAGAGGAGGGGCAAAAATCGGAGAGAGAGTGACTGAGAAATTTCCAGAGCAGATGAAAGACATTACCCCGTAAACCGAACAATTATACCAAGTCCGAAACAACTAGATTAAGAGGTAGATGGGGTCAGAAAATGCAGGACCCTGGAGTCCATGTCAGAGAATTTCGCCATTATCCTAAGACTCTTATCCTTGATGAGTTTTAAGCAGCTGAGTGAATGATTGGTTTTGCTTCTTGAGACTCCTGTGAGGAACAGATGACAAGGGACGTCAGGATGCAGGGCGATCCGCTCAGAGGCCCCCACAAGAGATTATGGTAGGCTGGCCTAGGGTGGAGATGGAGACGGAGAAAAGTGGACAGACTCTAGACGTATTGAGGACATAAGATGGACAGGACTCAGTAATGGGGAGGGGGGAGGAGAGCAGATCGAGGGCGTGCCCGACATTCTGAGCTGCAGACTTGCAGGGAGAGAGTCATTCACAGAGCTGAATTCAAGGGCTGGAAAGCTAGGCTGCAGTTCAGAAGGGAAGAAGGACTGTGCTCTGTTGGAACAGGTGCCGGAGAGCAGGCGGGCAGGTGAGTCAGAATGACTGCGAGCCGGAAGCTGAGGGAGGGGGTCTGCTGATAGCATCGCCCAGCGTTCTGGGAAGTAGAGGGCAAGGCTGTTTGTGGAGGGGGAGGTGGGAGATAGACAGGAGCGGGCAGCTGGAAATTTGAGGGTGGGAGAGAAGGACTGAGGATGTCATCCAGGTGGGGGAGGAAATGAGTTGACCAGAAAGCTGAGGGAGGCTTACCCAGAAAGGGGGAGGGGCTGTTGGAGGTGAAGGATCACGAGTTCTTAGTGGAACCTTGCACCGAGGAGTGGATGGTGGACAGCACTGCCACTGGACAGAGCAGGCAGAGGCTGCGAGCTCCAAGGAGCCCGCCCGAGACTGGCTTTGGAATTAAAAGTAATTGACAGTCACATCCTATCGCTGGGACTCTGAACCTGGGGTTGATCGTGGGGTTCCAGTCTCCCACAAATCCCTATGGCCTGGCTAATGCCCACCTGGCAGGGGCATGGAGCCTAGTCTTTGGGGACCTTATAGCTGGGCTCAAACTCAGCTCCACCACTTACTAACACCCGTGTGTAAGTGAAGGCCATCAAGGGCATTGCTCACAGAGCTCGCATGAGCACTGAATGAAGCAGTAACTATAAAGCATCTACGACAATTGCTGTCGTTGTGACTGGCTGTGTGGGGGCTTCTGAAACTAGAGCAGGACTGAGTGTGCACGAGATAAAACCCAGGTTGGGTGGTGTGTGGGCAGGGAGAGGGGCAGTTCACTCCTGAAAGATTTCTGGGTTGGTGTGGAAGCCCTGGGTTTCCACTGCTGTCTAAGAAGAGACAGAAAGTGCTCGCTTCGGCAGCACATATACTAAAACTGGAATGATACAGAGGAGATCCGCATGGCCCCTGTTAGGAACTATATAGATGTCTAACCAACGTACTGTATACTTGAAACTAATTAAAATAAATTTTCTTTTTTTTAAAAGAAGGGACAGAGAAAGATTAGGGGCGGTAGGAGGTCACCTCTCAGAAGGAAACGACAGGGAGAGGGTGGGGTGTCAGGGACAGGATTCCCCAGCAGCTAGGCCCACCCCACTCACCTTGAACTTGTTCCTGGCTGGGCTGAGTGTGACGCGGCCTTCCTGGAAGGCAGCCTTGGCCAGGGAGTCGACGACTTGCTCGGAGATCCAGAAATACAGCACACAGGGGCCCCTCAGGAATCCGGGCAAGAAGGTGGGGAGAGAGATGTCTTCCGAGAACTTGTAGAGGAAATACCCTGGAGAGAGCTGGGTGTGGCCTGGACTCCTCCCCTGCCCTTCCCACGTGTCTCTAATGCACCTGGGAGCCAGCGTCCGGAAGACTGAGAGGAGCCTTGGAAAGCATCCGGCCCAGAGCTTAGATGAGGAAACTGAGGAGAGCTGCACTCGGAACTAGAGGCTCCTCCCAGCTGGCCTTTCGTTCATTCAACAGATGTTTCCTGAATGCCAGCCACGTGCCAATCGCTACATGGGATGAACAGACAGATGTGGCTCCCACCCTCACAGGCTAGTCCCACATTTAGATTTGCATTTTATCTATTTTCTCAGTAGCGACACGAGGGCCGCAGAGACGATGTACTTACATACTCACACTTCTCTTGGAAGTGCAGGAGCAGCTTATGGATAGATAGAAGGTAGTTGGGGGCATCGGTTTCCACACTGCCAGATTGCAGGCTGCAGAGCCCCCAGCTCTATGTTAGGGCAGACGTGGCCTGTGGGCAGCGTCCAGGCCAGCCAGGAGCGTAGCCAGCTCTGGTGTCCCTGACCCCAGAATCTTCCCAGGCTGGGCCTCCTTTGGTGGCCTCAGAACTCTGTCTGCATGGCCTTCCCTCTCCACTGAGGCCAACGCTTAGAGTCCAGCCTCCCTGCCTCCCTAGAGAGAGCAGGACACGTAACCAGCTCTCTGTGTGACCTTGAGCTTCAGTTTCTCTTTCTGTAAAATGAGGATAAAGCCATGCTAGACTTAATGTCACAGAGGCCAGAGATGGCGAAGTTGCCTGAAGAAGTTAAAAGAGAGATTATCCTTAATATATCTTCGTTAATTCCCTAAGACCCAACGACCATGGAATCGATTTCATTAATATGTAACTGATATCCAAACTAGACGTGGGTGGCGTAGAGATAAAGTATCATTGGCCGTGATGGACTTTGGGTGAAGCTGGTCATAGGTACAAGGAGAGTTCCTTATACTGTTCTCTCGACAAGGAATGTGATAGAATTGAACGGAGCGGAGGAGAAACGACAGCTGCGCCTGGAGTCTCCGCGCGGGCACAGTCTGTCGCCGCGGCTCATACTGCAGCGTCTGGGCTGGGGCAGATCGGGGATCGAGTCCCAGCTCTACGGTCTGAGCCATTTCCCTCTCTGTTTGGTGGGTACAACAATAGTGACCCCCTGATGGGGGTGGGTGTGAGGATCAAACTAGGAAATGCGCGCGAACCCGCAGCACAGCGTGTGCCACACGGTGGCCGCTTGGGGCACGGTGACCGCTTTGTTGCGTCGTGTTCTGCCTTCATGCTCCCAGAGTCCGCATGGGCCTCACCAGCGCCTACCTCTCTGCCTCCCGTTTCTGCCCTCTGGTCTTTGCCTCCGGGGGTCCCCACTGAGACTCCCCTCCGATCGTGCGCCTGTGGCACAGATCCTTCCTCAGGCCCACCCGAGACCGCGGATTCCTCACCTGCCTTCAGTACAGTGTAAAGACTCCTCATCGCTCCTGTCACCCAGCCTCGCCCAATGTCAACCACGGCTGATAACATATTATCCCTACTCCACCCACGTCTCTTTTGGATATCGCTCACATAGTAATGAAATCGATTCCACGGTCGTTGGGTCTTAGGGAATTATTGAAGATGTGTTAAGGATAATCTCTCTTTTAACTTCTTCAGGCAACTTTGCCATCTCTGGCCTCTGTGACGCAGGTCGAGCATGGCTTTATCCTCATTTTACAGAAGGGAAACTGAGACCGAAGGTCACACAGAGAGCAAAGGGCTGGGACAGCCCCACTGAACCTGGAACAGCCCCACTTGAACCCCTAGTACAGCAGGAGCTTCTCCCACAGAAGGCAAAGCGACATTTTAGCATCACCAGCGCCCTCTAGTGGCTAGAAAACGTTTACGGCGACTCCCGCACCAGGTTACCCGTGTAAAGCAGGATCCACCTGTATTGAGCCTGGTTTGTGAGGGTCGGGAGAAGGAAGCTGGTTTTAGGACAAAGATAAGGTCCCCAAACAGTGTCTTCCCAACCCCTGGGGCCTCAGACAGACACACAGCCAGGGGCCCAGGCTCCCGTGCCGCCTGAGAGGTCCCGGGGGTGGATGATGTTCCAGGCACCAAACTGTGCCGAGACTTGGCTTTGAATCTGAACCTGCCTTGCTGTGTGACCTCTAGGCTGCTTAACCTCTCTGAGCTCCTGTTTCCTTGTTTGGTGAGCAGGGCTCTTAGGGGCATGTGATGAATATACAGGAGATATTGTTTGCAAAGACGCCTGGCCCTTAGCATACTCTCAGCCCCGGTCAAGTCAGGAGAGTCACTTTGCCAAGACATCTGTCTACCTGGCCTCCCTTTACCCCAAGTAAGACCCCCATCGCCCAGGGTAGTGGAAAAGGGCCCTTCCAAAGCCTGAATCTCACTGGACTGTTGGAGAGGTTGATACACTGCACTAAATGCCCACAAGGGCACTGGGCCAGGGCGGGGGTGGGGGTAGGGTGAAGAGGCATGGCTGCGGGGTGGTGGTAGCAGCAGTACCAGGCTTCTACCCTCGGTACCAAGTCAGGCGGACAGGCTTGAGTTCTCAGGGCTGCCCTTCCTCTCTGGAGGTTGAGGGCAAGTGTCAGGCTACTCCCTCCTAATACCCAGCTTGTCCACACCCCTGGCCTGACTCACTTGTACAGGCCATAGTGGACTTGGCCAAGGGTTATCGTGGCCTCCTGCCCTTGATATCTGGGTAGCTACTTGACCAGAAGACTGTCCAAGTCACCTTGGTGGTCTCTTGGTTGACTAGAAGGGAGGGCAGTGGTGAGAGGCTGCAGATCTGGGCCCCGCCCTCAACCCCAGCCTTGGCCATGGCTCAGCATCTCTGGGATAGGGCCTCACTCTGGTGTAAACTAGACCGTTATGCTCAGGGGACACAGAGAGAGCCCTGGCCCCTGCTCTGGTCCCCTGTCCTCATCCCCTGCCCAGAGATTGGGTCGTACCCTAGCCTCTGGACCCTGACACACAGGAACCCCATGATCTTAGTCAAACGGCAGTCCCCGAACCCAGCCATACAGTAAGCCCCGCCTCCCCCAGACCATGATATAATGGTCCTGGGGCTCACACTTTGGGATCTAGTGCCAAGATCCTTGCATTTAACCTCCCTGTGCCCTTATCATACTGAGCAAGAGGCTGAGGCCAGAGAGGGGAGGGGAGCTGGTCAAGGTCACATAGCTGTCCGTGACAGAGCCTCCCCATCTTGGGCTCATGCTGACACCTGACCTCAGCCATAGAATGATCCCCAACATCCTAACCTTCTCCCCCCAACCTGGCTCTGCTCTGAACCTTAACTCGAACCCCAGACAAATACAAACCCCTACATCTGACTGTTTGCACCCGCACAGGGACCTTCTCACCAAAGAGCTTGACCTTGAAGGTGAGGTCTGTCTCTGTGCTGAAGTGTGGCAGCCCTGGCCAGGGAGCCTTGTGCCCAGGGGGCACCCTCGGAAGGGGCCCTGGGTGGACAGACAGACAGTGGACAGATGCCTGCACAGAGTGCTGGTGGTGGTACTTATACCGCAGGCACACGATGCCTGCCTGGTACGAAGTGTCTTTGGGGCCGGCCTGGGTGCTGCCAGCAGGGCCTGGGTCAGGAGAGAGATAGCAAGCATGGTTCCTGGGCAGCAGAGGCCTGGAGCTCACATGTGCGTGTCTGCCCGCCTCCACGGGACAGAAAGCTCTTCTGGGGCAGCAGAGTCTTCCCTGATTGCTGCAGCCCCCCAGGCCCCCTGTTTCAGAGCCGGATAACCAGGGTACCCGGCCTCTGCTCATCTCCCCTGACCATTTGCACCTTCTTCTATATATCTGGATAATTGTTTCTTTAATACTTTTTTTCAAAAAATGCATTTCTTTTTCTTTTCACTTAAGTAAACTTTATCTAAGAATAAAGTTTATCACTCATCATCATAAATAGAAAGAAGCCAAAATATGGCAATGAATAAAGATGTTATATTCTTGCCAGAAACTGTTCCTAGACAATGACCCTAAGTTGGAGGCCTGCTGTTGCATGCAAATTAAAATTCAATTTAAAAAGGAAGAGAGCTTTGTGGGTATTAAAGATACTCTAACATCGAGGCTTCCCTTCGCTGCAACTTGGAATATTGGGGTATTCCATGGTATTTAATGCTGCATCTGTGTACCATGTAACATCATCTTGCATCCCCCCAGAGGCATGTGGCTCTCATTTTGGGATCTTCTGGCTTAGAGATTATTGTATTTAGCCTCCCTATGCTCTTATTGTGTTGAGCAATTGTATCCATACATAGTAGGCGCTTGGCACATAGTAGGCATTCAATAAATACTTGTTGACTAGAGCAGAAATGCCAAGTACTGTGGTGAGTTCTTTCCATGCTTTATCTTAGTCCCTTCTCATAATGGCCCCATAAGCAGTTATCATCTATTCTCTCCATTTTATAGGTGAGGGGTGCGAGCTCAGAGAGGTGCCATAACTTATTCTAGATGATGCAGCCGGTGGACATGAGAGCCAGGACTTCAACTACGAGGTCTGTGCTCTGTGCCTAGGGCTTTCGCAAGCCCGAGTGGGAGTCAGGGATAGGGTCTAGCTGGTCCCCAAGTCACTCACTGTGTCACCACGGATTGGTCATTGGCTCTCTCTGAACCTCAGCTTTTCAACTGTAAACTGGAAAAATGTTGATTTCTGTCCTT